ACTCTTCTGAAAGGAAAAATTTAGTTTGGGTCCTTTACCTTCACTATGGCTTGTTATCAACATATGAAGAGTCTCAAGGGAAGCACATCGTGAACGGCTGGCTAGTTTTATGATCGTTATCCAGAAACCCAGATGAGCAACATCTGCTGAATTTTAGGAATTTAAAAGCATCTTTATTTCTTTCATTTTGGGTTAAATGAGGATCATGATGATTTATCACCATAGATCCTCGGATCCAAGGAATGCACCTATTCATTTTTATTTGACAATGTTTTCTTCATTGCTCTTTCTTGGTGTAAATTGAATCCTCTATTTTATATATACACATNNNNCCCCCCCCCCCCCCCAAAAAAAAAAAAAACCAAGTTAATAATGACCTTTTAATAATTTGACTCCGAATTTTCTACTTTTGTGCAGGCTGAATTTCAGAATGTCATTGATTCCATTTCTACAGTCAGGAAAGCAGCGTGCTTGTCTGCGAGTATCTCTTGGAATCCAAATCGTGGTGAAAGACAGCAATCGAGTTTTGTTTTGGCTTTTCGTTCGGATACACCACAGCTTGATTCTGCCAAGGTAATCTAAGTTCTTCTGATCTCATTACTGCACTCAAAATTGTGATATGACCTGCTGCTCACAGCATATTGGTCAGTCCACGATGATTGCATACTATAGTTAATAGGTTATTTGTCCTCCATAGGTTTGGGAATTTGATCGGGCTCATCAAAGATGGCTTCCTGTTGCAGAGTTGGCTTTGGAAGCAGACAAAGGTGATGGGGTTTATGCTGTTGCGTGGGCACAAAATATTGGAAGGTAATGGACTAATTCCTAAAGGAGCTTCATATAATTGGTGTATCTGTGGTGTATAATTTTGAAGCACATAGGTTCAGCAGATATATCCTTGTTCATCATGTATTCCTTCAATTTCTTTACAGTTGTCACAAACTTCCAGGGCAATTCCTGGTAACTGTTTGAAAGAATCACCACAATGAGCTTGATATGACCAAATTCATTCACGTGTCTACTTGGAATTCTTAAAAAACAGTGAATAAGCTTCAGCAATAATAATATTAATTGTTCTTGAATATAATTTAGGCCATATGAGGTAATAGCTGTTGCAACCCAGAAAGGAATTGCAATATGGCGCCTTGGATTAAACCCGGATTCAGATGGAAGGCTCTCAACAGAACGAGTGGCTCTGCTTTCTGGGCATAACAGCGAGGTATCTCTTCAAAATTTCTCTCTGTTCTCTCATTCCCCTTTCTTTTCATTTATATTTCTTGAAACTCCAAGATGGATGCATTTCAAACGTCCATTTGTTAAGAGAAACCCCTAGTGTAGATAGAAGGAGTCCATTTGAATCCATGACGATGGAACCTTATAAAATAAATATGAAGATGATCGCTCATAATTGACTACAAATGTTGCTACAATTTAGTTGATATGGTTCCATGAACTGCGTGTTTTAGATTTTGTTCTCTTTCGATTATTCTTAGATAGGAGGGAAGAGGTGGTGTTGCTAATTGATGGTCATGTTTTCACTTGCACTGTCAGGTGTGGGACATGGAGTGGGACATGGGTGGTATGACATTAGCATCAACAGGAAAGGATGGGATGGTCCGGTTATGGCAATCCAACCTCAATGGTGTTTGGCACCAACATGCTGCATTTGAGCCCACTTCTTAACCTTGAAAACGTTTTGTTTCTCTATGATGTAACCGCTTCCTGTATTCGTTGTTAGGAAGAATTTTCAAATAACTTATCTGTCTTGCTGAGTGGGGTGCTTAGATTAGTGATGTCTTACTGGAGACCTATCTTTTATTTTAACAAATTTCTCTTTCTGAGTTGTGACTTCGGTTGCTTAAGAGGTATACAGTCAACACGTACACAGGAAGAAAGAATAACTGACTAGAGAGATTTAAGAATTGAGTTTTAAGATGAGATGCTTATGAATTTGAAGGAAAATAATTAGTATAACTAAGGATAATATAGTATTTCCGTCCTCCTCGAAAAGAACAGTTCTTAAGAACTTTAAAATGAGTTTTGGAAATTTAACTTTAAAAGGATTTGCAATAGCAGACAGTCCAAAGAAGCTTCCACTTCCAATTCATCCAGTGTCGAGGATTGTGGGACAAGAATGGTTCATTGTCTATGCAGAATTGAGCTCATATTGGGCCTAAATCTGGGGCCAAATTAGTGAAACGAGCTTTAGATCCGAAGGGATAGCAGCACGCCAACTCAAGAAGCTGCCACTTTTTCTGCCGTGTTTCCCCAATAACCCCTATGAAAAGATTCTGATTGCCTGAACTCTTGAGCACCGATTGATCGATGGGCAGGGCACATTTTCCAAGGCTCTTGCTTCTATTTTACTTGACACCAGCTTCTTCTACATTATTGCCAGATTAAAGTATGCTTCACATTCAATGCTGCTCCTTTGTCCCTGAAGCCTGTGAGTCCCTCCGATACTCTTTTAATTACGATCATGAAGTCTGTTTGAAGTACTAATGAATAGAGTTTTGGCTAAATGATATATTGGTGATCAGTCCTTATCAGCTTTATTGTCGTTCTGATTACCTCTGAGCTGCTTGTTTCTGAAAATTTCCTTTTGAACATTCTATACTAAATTAGTTTGATAGCCCTTTGAATCAACAATTCTGGCTGAAAATGGTTTTTCTGTGCTACAATCTGTGGTTCTTTCCTGTCTTGATCTGAGCTAGAATCTGCTTTGCCCAGCATAGTTAAAATGTTTTATCTGTATTGTCAACTCCAGGCTTCTTTATATGGTTTCTGCGCTGGGATATCGGTAAGTTGGTAACCTCTCTCCATCAAATAGAAGTATGACATTTCCGTGTCTGTGCTAACTGGAAGTGCTTTTTATATCTTCTTAGTCAGTCCCACTTTCCCAATGCATAATTTCATGACTGACTGTCTCTTTGTTGAAAAAGTTATGGTTTATCATTGCACTTGTTCAATATGGGTTGATATATTTGGCTTCTTTCCGAACTATGCTTGCAATCTGTTCTTGATCGAAGAAGTCTCATACCTGTTATGCGTATGCTTAAGTTCCGATTCCCATAACAATTAATATGGTGAAGAATACTTGCAGCAACATGTATCTTTCTGGTTTAGTGAGTTTGTAGGTATACTCCTTCGTGATGTGAACTTAATTGCTGATATCCATTTGAATTGATTATTAACAAAACATGTCTGTCCTTTTTCCCCATCTCCTTGATGACATGGTGATATTTGATATAGTATGTAAATTCACTCATATTATAGAAAATGCATGATAAACTACTAGTATATATTTTTCAATTACTACTATTGTAAGGGAGCTTCCTAATTTCAAACAAGACGTGCTATTGCTTAGTCTAATGTTGTAGGAAATCAATTGGGAACAAAATTAATAAAAGAACCAAAAATGAAGCTGCTAGTTATATTACTAATCACCATGCTTTGCAAAGAATTTAGAAAATGAAACCTGGGTAGGTGCGGCCTTTCCTTCTTCTGTCTTGGTTCATGATTGAGGCTAAATTCTTAAGGATTTGTAATTAACCAGTTTGCAATTTTATTTTTATCCCTAAGTGATTTAGTAGAAAAATCCTGGGGAGTTAAATGGGAAATTTGAGTTGATCTGCTCCGAATCGAATGGAAAATCCCAATCCAGTATAGGGGAGTTGGTAGCTGAAGTGTTGGCCGAGAAAATCTCATGGACATCAGATTCTAGAGGTTGCATATTATGAGTCCCTCCTATGTTGCTCCTTTGGCATGGGGATGGAGTGAAGTAGTTTGAGTCAGGTGTGGTTGGGGAGATAAATGACTGAGAAAAGCTTCCCAAGGCGGTGTGAGTGTCAATGGCTAAATGGGAAAAGCCACCATTTACAATGTCCTTACATTCACCAGAAGTTGAGCCGAAGCAGAATGTCAATGCCTTGTTTTCGAGCTTTTCGATGTTCTCAATAGTTTGATTACCAAATAAGCTCTCTTGCGCAGGCTGCTTCTGATGATGATCATGGCCGTGGTCGTTTTCCTTATTTTCTTGCTTTTCTGGTGAATGACATGATTGGGCTAAATAGTTCCCTTGGGAACAAGTGTGTTTTCCTCGATATGTAATTTCAAACACAGAAGGGTCTTCATCTGATCTCTGCACTTGCTTTACTGCCCAACAATTCTGAGTATTACGGAAAGTGCATCTATAGTAGCTTCTGCAAGTATACACCAGGTATTAGATTTTAATTGATGGGGAACAGCGAAGAAATTTCATCTTCATTAAGGTTATAACTATAGCTCTACAATATTTTTCCTTATTTCTAAGTGATTCTTGTATTTTTTTGGTTTCTTTCCTGTTAGTTAGTTCATTTACTTTTTAATAAAGTAGAGTTTGACTTTGAATTTTGAGCTGCTGACATTTCTCTCTCTTGTAATTCCTATCAAATTACTTATATTCAAATTCTCTTTCTATTTCTCTTCTGGTTTTCCTTCATATTGCCCCTATTGCATTCATCCATTAGAAAGAAGAAAGAAAAAAACACACAGTATAAGATCTCCCTTCCCCCCATTGAATTTTTTAGCATGTTTTTGTTTTATACTGGAGTAAAAAAGATGATTTGAAATATGAATGTATGGGCATTTGAATATATGCTCAGTGCATGGTTTGCATGTTTCCAGAGCAGGAAGAGGAAGAAATCATCTCACCTGGGATATGTTGCACCAAGTATGTCCTTTTGACCATATTTTCTCCAGCTATAACCATCCTCGTGGGGTCCTTCAAATCCTGTCTCAGAGTTCACTTTCACTTGTACTTTCCATCTGGGCTGTGCCTTTCTGTAATCACAGAATTAGAACCATGTTATATAACTTGTCTATTAACCTCTTATTTGATTTCAGTTCTTAAAACTTGGCGAAAACGGTAGAAACAACTGAAAAGTTGGAAAGAAGATTCTAAATTCACCTCTTCTTTGATTCCTTTCTGGGGTCCTGCTGAGGGTCCTTGAGGCCTCTGCCAGAGTCATCACTAGAAGCACTTCCATTGACAGAAATTGGTGACCCTGGCAATCCGGGGGCTACTTCCGGCATCGGAGGCGGATTCATTGGTGCGTTCCGTTTCAGTATCAAAAGAGCTCTTTCATACGAAGATAAAATCCCCTGTATTAATGATCCTCTGCTTTCTTCTTTAGATGCTGAACTCAACTCTATTCTCAATTGCTTGGTAAGCTCCATCCCCTGAATTAGCTCACCAACGAGTGACGTTTGATCCCAACTCCACCCACCTTCCATTTTCAATACCTCTTTATTTCTTAAAATGAACTGATGCTCTACTATGCTAGTTCATGGTAGGAAGAACAAGAACTCAGCACATTTCTGTTTGGATTTATAGGTTTGTCAAGAAGCAGAAGCTTTCTATCTAAGGAGAAGAAGCAGAAGGTAGAGGAAATGGAAGACCCAAATGTTAAAGAAACAGAGACAACAAACATGGAAGTAGCCAGGTAGGTAATTTGGTTAACTGGGTATGTTTGTGTTTATCAAAACCGAAGTAGAATAGAGAGAAGAAGAAGAACAAAGAGAGAGAGAGAGAGAGATGAGGAGAAGCTTTGGATTGAAGAAGAACCAGTCATGGGTTCTTATAAGGAATTGAAAAAGGAAAACAACTTTGTTTCATTCTTTTTTAAATTTTTCTTGAAGATTTAGAATCGGGAACTTTTGACTGAGACAAACCCGAGTTGCTTTCTTTCCTTACTACTCTTTGTTTTGATAGGTTGGTCTTTTTTGTGGAAGTCCAAGTTCAAAATCTGACCAAGTCCACTTCCACTTGGATCTAACTTCCAAAAGGGTTTCTCTTTCTCCCTCTAGATCCTACGGCTGTGGTTTGTGTTGAATGAAATTCCATGATTGAGATAGAGAGAGAAGTGGAAAGTCAAAGTCCATGCTTGGAGAGTAGACCAAGAATTTTCAAAGCTGAAATCCGCGTTGTAGTATAGTAAGCATGTGCTTTCTCTCTCTCTTTTTAAATCTAATGCTTATGATTGTGAGTGGACAGCTCTTCCACGTAAGACTGCTGACTTGGATTTCTTGCATCATCAAATTCCAACTGTTGAGACCATTTCTTCTCTCACAATATTTTATTTTTCTTCTTTTTCTTTGATTCTACGTAAATTAGATCTTAGTCCTTAGCTTAGAAAATTTTGTAGTCAAAATTAGTGTTTTCTGTGTATGTTTATTTGATTAAAGTTTGAAATTTGGCCATTCTCCTTCGGCTTAATTAATTTTTATATACTTGATGAATAAGTGTTACCAAGTTCACCTTTAATTCTTTTTTAATATTGAGTTTTTTTAAAACCATTATATTATTGTTTTTTCTTTTGAATTTTTATCTAATCAATCATTTTCCATATTTCAATAAATTAATGACCAAATCATCATTTTATTTAAATTTAACAAATGAATAATGTAGTTGGTAGCCAATTGAATTTTAGTAGAAAAGTATCATTATCATCTTAAAAACGATAGTTTGATATGTCGCTTCTATTAGAACTAAAAATCAAAACCCTAATTTATAGGGATCGAGATTTATCATAATTAAAATTAAAATATATATATATATATCAAACTGATTAAGAATTTATTAGACAAAATTACATCTCAAAGATGGAAAATAATAAAATTTCATAAACAAATTAGATATGAAATTAAAAATATTGAAGCTTATAATTTAACCATGACTAGGAATCATATTTTAGGTGTACGTATAGCTTATTCTTTTGTGTCTATTTGATTCTTAGATTTTAAAAAAGTGTCTACTAAATTTCTAACGTATCAAACTTTTTTTAAAATGAACTCGTCTATTAAATATGAAATTGAAGAACTTTATTTTTTGAATAGGAAGGGAGAAAATTAACTAACGCGTAATGGGTTTGTTGAATCTTAGTTCAATGAACTCTTTTATTATCTTATTGCAAACGTGTAAACATACTTTCAAAGTTTAGGTAGTTTTTTGTTTCTCTTTTTTCCTTGGGCTTCATCTTTTTTTTTTTTTTTTTTTTTTTTTTTTTTTTTTTTTTTTTTTTTTTTTTTTTTTATATGTAGTTTCATATACAACTTGTACTTAATTCTATAGATATATAATAAATTTTTAAATTTTAAAACATCAAATAAGTGATAAAGTTTAATTGCAATCATTTTGTGAGGTTAAGAGAAAGTAATCGTTTAAATTGAAGATTTAATACTATCTTGTAATTTATTAATTAGATATTTTGGTTTAATTTGGACTAGGATTAGTTTGTTTATTGTGATTAATATACCTAACATTAGGTATATGAGCTATACTAATTATATAACTCAATTTATTTAAATTAGTTATATAATATATTCATTTAATGGCATTTTTGTCCATTATCAATTTTATTTATTTTACATTTTTTATATATATATTTATTGTCTTCTTGGGCCAACTTGTAAAAGGCCGGGAAACGTGAACGGCCCATTAAGAGTTCAAAGCCTATGAACCATAAAAACAAGCCCATAAATCAAAGGGCTTTCAAACAAGTAAGCCCATTATATTTTCATTTCTTTTAGCTCATCAGCGATGAGAGAGAAATTCAGCTGCATCAGTGAGGAAATGACGAAGTTACCCCCGACGAATATTTGGTGGGGTAAAGACAAAAGTTCCTTTTTTATTCTGCAGAAAGGGTTGTATAGCCCTAACTAGATTGTGTTGATGAACTCTCTTTAATTATACCCTTTTGGTCTTTTGGTAATTTTTATTTTGGGTATGTAGATTTTATTTGTTTTTATTATGATTAATATAAACTAAATATTGAAAATTACATTATTAAAATATTGAGATAGATAAATGAAATAAAAAATAAATCTATTTATTATTATTATTTTTTTAGTATAATTTTAGTTCCTTCTTAGCCCTTTAATTTGGAAGGATGAAAGATTTGATATGGATACTTTGAGGTCACAATTCTGCTATGAATAGAATAGGGTAGGTTGTGACTCTCACGTTGCCACAAGAGATGTAGTGACTCTCAAGTAGTGCACATTCGGCCACGAGAGGGCCTAGACAATTGAACATACACATGCTATAAAACTAGACGGAAAATGAAGTTTAAATGGTGTAACATAATTTGAATCCGACCTTAAATTATTGGAAAGTTTGTAAAGATATATATGAAGCAAGTAGGAAGGTTAGATTAAAGGGAAGAGATAAGGTATATCTTAAATTACGGAATGTCAAATAGGGAAAATATTGTTTTCTATTTGACTTTATTTTGTTAGATTGTTACGAAGAATAAGAATTTATGCTTCATTGGCTGCCCTCTTAATATTATTTAATTGCCTCATCGAGGTTCCTAAGAGCCAAATGCTTTCCCTTTATTAATTTCTTTGTATCTCTAAAAAGAATATCTATATTTAAAAGTGGTTCTATTTAGATTATATTCACTTTTTATCCATTTAATATATATATATCTTTTATTAGTTTATAAAAATATACACACACCAAATATTAATGTATTCTTTAAAAATGATATTCTTTTTTAAAGATGGTAAAATCGAATCACAAAAAATGTGAGATCTCTGATTAGTTGGAGAGAGAAACGAATAATTTTTTATAAGAGTGGGAAAGTTTATCTTTAGCAAATGTGTTTTAAAAAGCTTGAGGGGAAGCTCCATAAAATGGATAATGTCTACTAGCAGTGTCCTCGAGCGGTTACAAATGATATTAGAGCTAGATACTGAGGATTGTGGTAGTAAGGACGGTGGGTGGGTTTGGGCATGGAGAAGCATGAAAGGGAATAAAAAGGCATTTGAGTTATACCCATGTTTTTTACAACAACAAAAACAAAAGAATCCAAGCTTTAGTTTTGATACCATAAAACTCCTTTTGAGCACTATAAAACAACACCTGCTCTCGTCTCCTCTAAACCAATAATCTGATGGACAAGAGAAGAGAAGATAAGTGACTCCATAAGACATGCTCTTTGCTTTCTCTCCCTCAAGGGCTTCGGCGACGGTGCCCGACATCACCCCGACGCCTTGCTTGAAGCCCTAGGGGAGGGGACGCCAATGGTACGTCTTCTCAATACTAGTTGTGTCTTCTTCTCCTTCTGTTTCTGTTTCTGCTGCATTTAACAATTTAATATTACTAATATATATACGCAAACTTTTAACTTCTAATAATAAAAATATCCTAATAAACCTACTTAAAATTAAAGAACCATTTTCTAAGCTTATACATTTATTTTTAAAACAAAAAATCTGGAAATGCCAGCTGTCTTCCAAGAATTTTATTTTATTTTGACAATAATATTTTTCCGAAAATTAAATAACTCTTTTGACCACAAGAACATTAAAAATTGAAGAAAAAAAAAACAATTGATTTTATAATTATTCGTAAAATTGGAGAAAGAAAGCTAAATTTAGCGCAATTAAATAATTTTGTTTTTTTTTTAAATAAAATAATAAAGACGGTGTTTACAAAATCAATGTTGCCCGTTGCCCGTGTTTCAAGTTAAACACAAAGTAAACGGTGAAATCCTACCCCACCTGCCCCAAATTTCCTCTCCGTCAAACCCTATAAATTCCATTTCTCCTCTGTTCCTGGACATTGCAATCCCAACAATGGCGAAACCCACCCTAACCTTTCTTCTCGTCGTCGTCTTCGTCGTCTCCTTCTCACACGCTCGCCAACTCACAGAGAGATCGGAACATGGAGTTTCCGTCTCCGATTCCGCCTCCGGATCCATCGACGACTCCGATTTGAAGGCCTCGATCTTCCTCCCGTCCGAGAAATTATCCGAATACGAAGCTCCAAAATCCATGTCAGTTCTCAATCAGGTACGCACCGAAGACAATCCTTCTGAAATTAAAGCGGTCGATGCGACGGAGAGCGTTTCAGATGCGGTAGTCGTGCTCACCTTCCGTCCAATCAACCGCCAATTCGGCCGGCGAACGGTGCCGTTGATATTCCGGCGAAGTCGCCGCGGATGTCACCGCCGCCACAACTTGAAGCCTTATAGCGTGGGGAGGATCTCATACGGAAACGACATGATCGTAGCCGATGAGCGACAGAGCCCTAATTCTGTTGCGAATTGGGGATCGGATCGCGAAATAGCGATTCCATCCAGATGGAGGGAAATCCGACATGACGAACCGCGGGAATCGTTCAGAAGCGATTCGAAGGAGGATCGCAAGCATCTCCACTTCCTTCACCAACGCGCAGAGGAAAAAGAGCAGGAACACAAAGAGAAGAACGGTTTCCTGAGGAATTTCCGTAAGTTTCTGAACCAGTTCGAGTTCTGAAGATATGAATAATATATGAACACAGTACGCTCTATTACAATAAGGTTAGCCTTAGCTAGCTCTAATCAGGATCTTTTGAATCCTTCTAATGTGTTGATTTGTGTTATCCCGTTGATAGCACTTCCATACCTACCTTAGGGATTGTTTTTGTAATTGCTTATGTTGTCTTGTATAAGATATCAATCTCTGTCTGTGTCACTCATTGGGTGTTCCTGGATTAGATCTCTATCGTCGTAACAAATAAACTCATTTGAATTATAAAAAGAATCAACATAGTGTTCATGTTGTCTTCATATTTCCCTCTTATTGGTTGTTTTAGAAAATATCAACCCAAATTTTCTAGTTTTTTTTTTTTTTTTTTTTCGTTTTTATTAAACCCAAACGGAGAATAAACTCATGTTAGATTACTAATGGACAACCTTCCTAGTGATTCCATTACTCTTCTGAGATAGATTTTAGACATTGGAGAATGGAAAAGGAGAATAAGAAAAGAGAGAGAGTATTAATGTGTTACCTCGTAGATTGTAGCGGTTTTAAAGAGAGGAAATGCAAGAAGGAAGTGGTGGGATTTTAGGATTTTAATGCCGCTTTTAAAACATACTTTTGAAATAAAATAATTACCCGTTCTATTCTAACAATACGATTAAAATCGTTGAAGGTTGCCCCCCCCCCCCTAGTGTTTAGAATGCATGACACGTGGCAATGGAACATTCGAGAACAGAATGATATTATGTGAAGGAAGATTTAGTTAAGAGGATAGAGAAATTAGGAATGTGGAGTAATTATGATAGTAAATGCAAATTAAAGATTAGAAGGGTATGGGGGCTCTTACACAAGTCACTGTTGACATGTGGGTAACCACGATGAGGGCCACCATTCTCACTTCACAACACACCCCTAGGCCACCTATCATCAATTGATAAGCTTCGTGTGTGACCTCAAAATCCCAAATTCTAGCCATGACCCAAAACAAGATGATGCCTTGTTTCTTTCATTCACCTTTGAGATATGGGTTTCGTTATGGCCCTTCACCTATTTTTCCTTCCTTTCGTCTTTTTTTCTTTTTTCCTCTCCCTCCGAATCAATGATCGGGTGTGTCAGCAACAATGTTGAGCTTCAAAAGGGGCGGATATTGAACCGTGTGCCAGCGTTGGAGAAGATCCTACATCGATTCATTACAGAAACGAATACCAGCAAGGACGAGAATAGATTGATTGAAGAGGGAAATAAAAAAGACCTCTGTGGAACTATATCTCTGGGTTGCACAATTGTCCCTGTTGTGCAGTTTTAAAAACTTTGTGGAAAAAAATAAATAAAAACAAAGAGAAAAGTTCATTCAATTTAATTTGCCAGAACTTCCCAAATTAAATCCGGATCAAAAGACGGCATCTTCGCCAGCGAAGAGTACCCTTCACAATCCCCTTCCTCCACCATCGCCACCGCCACCGCCGACTCCGCCGAGCCGGACGACGACGACGGTGGCGGCGAATTGTCCGTTCTCCAAAACCCATCTCCAGAAACCGCCGACGAACACCACGTCGCTGCCATCGGCGACGGCAAAGACGACTCAGAAACGGGGCTGTTTTTGGGATCCAATTTCTTGCTTCTCTTTTTAGCCCTTTCCCTCTTCATCTTCGAACAAATTGCTTGAATTTTAGCATCAACGGAGTTCTTTAAAGCATTCAAACCGCCGCAATCGGCGAACCCCAAATTCCTAAACTCCTTCAAATTGGGAAAATTCAGCCTCGCGTATTCTCCTCTGAGCTTATACGCCGCCCTGTCATAGGCATAGGCGGCAGCCTCCGCCGTGTCGTAGGTTCCCAACCAAACCCTCATTCTGTTCTGCGGCAGTCTAATCTCCGCCACCCATTTCCCCCAATGCCTCTGCCTCACTCCCCTGTACAGCTTCTTCTTCACCGACGCCGGAAAACCCCCATAACCAGCGGAAATTTCAACTGGCTGGTAGCGGTGCTGTTGTTGGAATTGCAGGTGGTGATTCTCAACGCAAAATTTATGGACCAGATCTCTCTGTCGGAGGTACACCGACGAGCCCATCGCCGTCTCCGGCATAGGGCTGAGGGCGACGGCGGTGGAGGGCAGAGAGTGAGAAAATATGGAATCCAGAGTGGTAAAGAATTGGGGATTGTTTAATTGTTGTTGCATTTCGTTAACCATAGAGATTTTGCACGCTTTTTGGTTTCCCTGGAAATTGGAATGGCAAGATTGTATTGTTCAGAGAAAATTGGTGTATTTATAGGTGGGGAAATCTTCTTTAACACGTGTCGTCTCCTTATTGGATTCTCACTTTAACGTGATTAAATTAAATTCATTGTAATTTTTACTGATAGTGGAGAAATTAAAATAGAATATTTAAAATTTTATTATTAAAAAATTACAAAGTTAATTGTGCTTTTGTAACCCTAAAAAAACACGGATCAACCGAACTCGATCTTTAAAATTTGGATTAGTGGGTGCGTATGCGTGTGCTCGAACATTAAGATGAACTAAATTATATTATGGTTAAAATTATTCGAACTTTGTTAGCCCTTCTTCATTACATCTATATATTTTTTTTAAAATAATTCAAATTTTTAAATAATTTTTAAAATTTTAAGATGATTAATCGGTCCCCATTGAAAAGCAACAAAGAAAGACAGCCCATTTTTTTGTTAACATCTCAATAAAAGCTGTCAAAGAGACCACCGATTTTTTGTTGACTTTCAAAAAAAGTTGTATTTTGGAGCTAAGCGCCGGAACCGACTATGCCTGTGGTCCCTGCCTTCTCAGACTGACACGTCATCACTCACACTTGTAAAATTCGATATTTTTAAAGCCCCCACGTGTCACCTTATCATTATCCATGAACGGATAATTTTTCTAAATCTCGTAATTGCCCCTTTCGGGGACCTGGCTACGTGAAACCAGTTACACGGCGTCGTTTTATTTTGTTCTTTTTTCTTTTTTGCTATATGTTTTTGTTTTTAGCATCACTATGACGTCAATGATGACAATAAGTCCAACAGCTCACATGCCACCTGGGCCCACCCTTACATTGACACGTCCCTTCCCAACGCAGGAGATTAGGGCTTACATACCTCCAAAAAAAATAATTAATTAATTAAACTTAAAAAATATATATATTTATTAATTCTTAAAGAATTATAGATATTAAATTTATTTTCTAACTTATTACTTTAAATGGAAATATATGGTCCAAGAAAGGTGGACTGATAACTTATACGTTGAAGATAATATAATATTATTATTTGTTATAAACTTCTAAAATAATATAAATACATGCGGACCAAATGAGATGGAGAAATTTTTATCAATTAAATAACAGTATCATATATCTAAAATATTTGTATATAATTTATATTTTAAAAATAAAATAAATATTAAAATGATAAGATAAAAAGAAGCATATTCTCTACATAATTATTTCTATTTTAATTATAACTAAGTAACAATAAACTATATACACACACAATCCATGAAACAAATGTTATGCTTAGCAGAATGTTATTTTGGCGGGAAAAATCAAATCTTTATTTTATATTTAAAAAAAAAAACAGTTTTTTTAATATTTTGTAAGGAAAGGCTTTAATCAGGACACGTGTATGGTTGGCAATGGCTTAACAGCCCATCATTCTCTTATCTTTTCATTTTTTAAAATAGATAATAAAAATGTATATTTATTGGATGTAAAGTCAAAATTAGGTGACCGAGTCTGTGTCTGTGTTTTTGTCGTTTTTGAAACTACTTTGACTTTTTGACTTTTTCCAATTGTTTGCCATACACGGTAAGATCGGTTGGTACAAAAATTTAACGCCGCTTTCATTTAAATATTAATTTCTTGCCTTAAAAATTTACAAATTATTTTTCTTCTATATTTTAAAAAATAATTTATATTTAGTTGTCCTCTCATACCAATTATCACTAAATTATGTTCTTATTAATTTTTCTAACATATTTTTAGAGTACACCAATCTAATTCTATAAAATATTATATGAAAATTGAGAATGGATTAAATTATATCCTTTAGCATACCCTTATGGTAAAGGAATTGAAAGTCAAAGTTATAATAAAAAAACGATAGCAGAGAAAATACTGACAAAATAAATGCAAATACTCGTACACTCTAGATATATAAAAAAATGAGTGGAATAATTGAAATCGGAGCAATTAACTAAAGAGAAAATTTTGATGTGGTCGATAATCTTAAACCATATTAGCTTTGTTATCATCCAATTCAAACGAAATGATTTAGATTACACGTACAACGAATAAAAATATGATATAATTTTAATAGTCGAGATTATGGTTGAGATTATAATTTTGAGTATAGAATATAGTTTTAATAGTTGAGATTATAATTTTTAGTATAATGGTATAATGCATATTTTAATTGGTTGGCGTGTCACATCCTTTTTAAATGATAAAATAAATAATTTGATTAAATTTTAAAAATAAAAAAAGAAATATAAATCAAAATGGGTGCAACGAGAGAAATAATTGGCGTGACCAACACAATCATAAACGAAGTAATAAAGGATAATTGCATTTATTTAAGTGAGAAAAATATGGGTTTGAGAGCGACCGCATTGCCACCTCATCTTTTTCACTTCAATATCATCGCTAATTAAAATATTATATTAAATTTTAGATTTCATTTCTATATTGTAAACACTTCATTGGATTTTGTTTTCTAATTTTTTTTCTATAGTTTCCCCTGGATCTGGATTTTATTCTTTTAATTGCTCAAACATGATAATTATTGATATACTTTTTTTTTTTTTTTTTTTTTTTTTTTTTTTTTTTTTTTTTTTTTTTTTTTTTTTTTTTTTTTTTTTGAGTCATAGAATTCGTCCTTTCATGTAACGACCTATGGCCAAGATTCGAGATCCAAAATTTGTACCCGATGACTCTGATATTCTCTTGCATCTCTATTGACATGGTCAGTTACCTATTTCTCCTTTGCTTCCTAAGAATGAAAATTATCCTCACATATCAACACAAGTTCTTTCGGTATGTTTTGTTTTCACTTACATGCTTGTAAGAAAAATTTCTAAGAGGTCATCTAATATAAAATTACTCAAAGTAGAGTACTTTTAAGAATGAAATTCCTATGATTGAGCCACCGAAAATAAGATGGCTTTGTTGGTATAGACGATAACTTTCAATTTTTTTAAACCCTTCCTAGTATATGATATCAGTTCATTTATGTATCTCTCCTTTAAGTGTTACATCTCATTTGTTATAGTTATAAAGAGCGTACTATAAACTGATTAGATACAAAGCTATATCCCTCTTTTAATTGAATAAGATAGATTTAATGAAAATATAATCTAAATTTTGAGAAAATTTTCAAATTTCAAATTTGAAATAGAATTACCCTAATCACTAAAAGTGTTAAATTAATTTTATAAAGCACTTGGATATTTGATTCCTCTCTCATCATGCCATCATTTTTGGGTATGTTTGACTTTGGCAGTCATTTAACCAACGTGTCATCACCGACGCCGCTTGTAATTTATACGTGGAGTTTTCTTATTAAGCCGTCCTTTCCTTCTAATCTCTCCTTTATTATATCTATCAATTTTTATTCCAAACTTCTGATTTTCTCATATTAAACTTTATATTTAAATAAACATCGTAATCTTTTACCTTATATAAGGCTCCTACTACATTTAATTTTGCCCGTAACATACCCACCTACGTACAATCAATTTATGTTATTACAAAAGGGAAGAAAATAATAATAATAATAATAAAAGCATATAATGAGTTGTACGTGGTGATGAGCTACTCTTAAAATCTACGTTTCTTGTCATGTCCTAGATAAAAACTGTAAAAAATATTCAAAAATATTCAAATAAATAATAAATATATATAGTCAACTTGAGCATCACTAAACGAATAATAAATATTACCAGTCTAGACATTAGAATTTCCTATCCCACTTATTATAACAAAAAGAAGTAAATATATTGGAGGTTCTGATACTCCACATTCCTCCAAACCAATCCAATAGAGAAAGGTAAGAGAACAATAGAGAGGAGGTAATAATTACAGAAGTTGAATGCAAATACAATAACACATGCTTGTTGGTCTAAAAGGGGGTAGATGGGTGTACCTTGTATGATGAAATCCTGATCAAAATTCCCAGATTATCAGATTCGCTGTCGGGTCGGTTTCCATTACACGTATGTATGTGTGAAGCTAATAGTGACTAATCTTTCCAGCCCTCCTTATTCAACCGTCGTGAGGCAAGGCCCTTCGACGAAAGATTTGGAGTAACAGGCAAGGTAGGTGTGTGTGGTGTCTCATCATCCCAATTGTCATCCCAACTGTTTTCCCATCCGTCATTATTGTCAGCAACGGATTGGCCTGTAATGGAAACAGGGAGCTCCATATCCAGCCTTTGATATTTAGAATTGCCACTTGTGAAACTCTTAGAACGAATGCTGATGAAAACTACAGTAGCTGCAAATGTTAGAATTACGGCAAAAGCTAAGATTGCAATGACAGGTGGTTTTGTGAGGTAGCTGAACCGTGAGGACTTCGGGAGATTATCGGAAACTTTGGCATTATTGTGCGAAATCAGATCCCTAAAATCAAGATTACAACGGCCGCTACCTGTGGTAAGAACGATTGTGTGGCCATCTCCTCCATCACCAATTGAAACTTTTACCTGCATAATTTGATTATTTATTACGATGAAACTTTAGCACATGCATCTTCTTACAATTAGCAGCTATTCTATATTATTACAAGGCATATTTTACTACAATATAATTTGGGTACTCCGAAGCATAGTAACGAAAACATAATAAATGAAATCTTTTATTGGATCCGAATTCTTGAATGAGAGTTGGCTGGATTGTCAGAAAAGCGCCAGACCAGTCTGTCCTCAAGAATGTTTATGTGACCTTGTCTCGAAGAAAGAGATGTAAATCCTTTGTAGGATTCTAAAATGGGGGTAATTTGTTGACTGTTTCTTCAATGAAAATCTGTTAGCTGGATTGTCAGAGAAGCATAAGATCAATCTGAACTCAAAGGTTTATGTGACCATGTACAAAGTTCCGTTTGTTCTGACCGACTGGGTAACTGATTCTGGAGGTAAACTTTTTGAGAGGCTGATGCTAGAGGTAAACTATGTTATCACTTATCTTCTTTAATGTGTTCGGAGTAAATAGAAGAGCTT